GTTCACTGCTGTTGCTTGTTAGGCTAGGTTTGTGTGAGAACAGAGGGATACTTGTCACCTTGACCCAACCTGAGTCTTAGGCAGACTCCGTAACTCTGGACCTCAGGGTATACTGTCAACATTTTCACTCCTCCTCCCTAGATAGCCAAACTCTGCCCTGAATATGTGCATGGTCTTAGGTGGGAACAAGGCTCCTTCTGCTTCTGCAGTGGTAGTACAACATCTGCCTTGTGTTATTGCAATTGTTTGTTATGGCTTGTTTCAGTGTATATAATATGAATCTTTAAATGACCACAAATGTCACTTCATGTCTCTTGTAAGAATCTTATAATAACGTGTGGCAATTTCCTTCTTCTGTTCTGTGTATTATTTTCATATGTTTCACTTTTGACATAATGATTGTTATAAACTCCATAATAATGATGTTTCTATGTTTGCTTTATACAAAACTTACATAAACAGCAGATAGTAAATATTTTAGGCTTTAAGGGAAATGGGATGTCACAACTCCTCTACTGTTGTAGGACAGAAGCAGCTGTAGATAATACATAAACTAATAAACAGAAGTGTTTATAGTTTCTAATTAAACTTTTCTTACAAAAGGTAGATAGTGACCTGGATTTGGCCTATCGGCCATCGCTTACAAATTCCTGCTTTAAACAATTATTTAAAAAATAAACAAATTAATAAAATCTTATTGAGATTTAATTAAGATACCATATAAGTTAACCACTTTTAAAAGTGTATAATTCAGTGGCTTTTAACAGTTGTAAAACCATCATAATAATCAATTTTAGGACATTTTGTTAACACCAAAGGAAATCTTATATCCCTGGATGTCGCCCTTTGATTTCCTCATCAGATCCCTCGTCCTTGACTTGCCCCAATTTTAGGCAACCAGTCTACTTTCTAACTATGTATTTGCATATTCCAGATATTTCATATAAATGGAATCATACAGTATATGGTCCTTTTAGACTGGTTTCTTTCATGTAGCCCAATGTTGTCACAGTTCATCGTGTTGTACATACACTATTACTTAATTTTATCATCAAATAGCATTCCTGTAGTGTATGAGGCTTCCAGTTTCTCTACATCCTTTTGAAACTTGTTATCTGTCTTTTTTTTTTTTTTATTATTTTACCCATCCTGGTAGGTGTGAAATTATTTTTCACTGTGGTTTTGATTTGTATTTCCTCTCCAATTAGTGATGTTGAATATTTTTTCACGTGCTTACTGGCCATTTGCATGTCTTCTTTGAGAGATGTCTATTTAGAACTTCTGTCCATTTTCAGTATTGGGTGGTTCATCTTCTGTTGAGTTTTAGCAGTTGTTCATATGTTCTACATACAAGCCCCTTGTCAGATGTAGGATTGTCAAATACCTTCTCCCATTTTGTGCATTATCTTTTTACTTAATGGTAGTGTCTTTGAAGCATGTAAATTTTTAAATTTTGATGATATCTATTCTGTGTTCTCCTTTTTCTTCCTTTGTTACTCCTAAGAAACCAACGTCTACTTGGACTTTGTACATATTTGCTCCTATGTTTTCGTCTAAGGGTTTTATGCTTTAGCTCTTATGTTATGGTCTTTGGTCCATTTGGAGTTAATTTTATATATAATACGGTGTAAGGATCCAGAATTGTTTTTTCAGATGTAGAAATTCAGTTGTACAAGCACTATTTTTTTGTGTGTGTGTATGTGGTACTGGGTTTGAACTCAGGGCCTTGCACTTGCTAGGCAGGTGCTCTATCACTTGAGTCACTCAGCCAGCCCACTCCCAGCACTATTTTGCTACAACAGTGTTTGTTTAACACTGTTGTTTCTACCATGTATGTGAGGGTTTGTTTCTGGATCCTAAACTTTATTCCTTTGGTCTATATATGTTTACCCTTATGCCGGTGCCACACTGTTTTGATTACTGTTGCTCTACAGGTTTTAAAATTGGGAAATATGAGTCCTCCAGTGTGGTTCTTTCAGATTTTAAGATCAGCTTGTCAGTTTCTCCAAAGAAGTTAACTGGAATTTTGGTAGAGAACAGTTTGAATCTAGAGATCATTTAAGAAAGTATTGCCATCTTAAAAACAGTGTCTTCTGAGGTTAGGGATGTAGCTCAACAGCAGAGCACATGCTTAGTGTGCACGAGGCCCTTGGTTCAATCCCAAGCGCTCAAAAAAAAAAGAAAAGAAATCTCTTCTGATGCATAAACTTGCAAGTCAAGTCTTCCCATTTGCTTGGGTCATTTTTAATTTCTTCAACAATATTTTATAGTTTTCAGAGCATAAGTTTTGTACTTTTAAATTAAATTTATTCCTAAGAATTTTAATTTTTCTTTACCATCATTTTTTATCCTTCACTGTTATATAGGAGTACAGTTCATGTTGCTATGTTGATTTTTGTATCCTGTAACATTACTGAATGGATTGACTTTAACAGTTTGTTAGTGTTCTCCCTAAGATTTTCTATATATGATCATGTCATCTGCGAACAGATGATTTTACTTCTTCCCTACCAGTCTGGGTGCTGTTGATTTCAGTTCCTGCCCTGGTTAGGCTCTCCCGTAAAATGGTGAGTGAAAGTGGTGAGAAGTGACACTGTTTCTTGTTCCTGATCTTCAGGGAAAACAGTCTCTCAGCATGAGTGCAGAGGATGTTAGCTAAGGACCATTTTGTAGGTGTTGTATAGCACGGAAGTTCTTTCTATTCCAAATTTGTTGAGTGTTTTTATCTTGAAGGCGTGTTGGATTTTGTTAGATGCTTTTGAAATGATCATCTCGTATTTGTCCTTTATTCTGTTGTTGTGGTGTATTACACTGACTGATTTTCACGTATTAAACCATCTTTACATTGTTGGGTTAAATCCCACTTGTTCAAGATGTACAGTCTTTTCTTATGTATTACTGGGTTTGATTTGCTGGTGTTTTGCCGAAGATGTTCGCATGCACGTTTACAAGAGATATTGGTCCATGGTTTCTCTTGTGATGTTCCATCTGGTTTTGATACTAGGGTAGTTCTGGTCCTGTTCTTGGGAAACATTGTATCACCTGTTTTCAGAAGAGTTTATAAAAATTGGTATTCATTGTTCTTTTCAGTGTTTGATAGAATTTGTTAGTGAAGCCAAAATTAGACATTTTTTTGTGGGAAGTTTTTTCCTTTTTACTTCTTGGTGGTAATGGGAGTTGAACTTGGGGCCTCACACTTGTTTAGGCAGGTGCTGTACTGCTTGAGCCACTCTGTGAGCCCTGTGGGAATCCGTTTTAAAATTACTGATTTCATCGTTTTCCTTGTCATAGGCCTATTCAGATTGTTATTGTGATGTTCCTTAAGAATCTGTGATTTTCTTTCTTACATAAATTTGGATGATTCTTGAATGTTTTCCCTTTAAATACTTTTTCTGCCTCATTCTCTCTTCTCTACTCACTAGACTCCAAATGCATGTTTTTTAGTTTGATACTGTGACAGGTTTTGACCTGTTCTGGTCTTTATTTGTTTGCTTCCACTTCTTTTCCTCTTCCTTGTTGTGTTTCACTTTGCATAATTTCTTTTGACCTAAGTGATTCATTCTATGTCCAGTCTGCTCAGAAGCTATGTATGTTTTATTTCACCTTCTATATTGTAATTTTTTTTTAAAAAATGATCATTTTCACTTGATTTTTTCCTTTTATTGTTTTTACATTTACTTACATGTATATACATCGTTTGAGCCACGTCGCCCTTCTCTCGCTCCCCTTCACTTAATTTTTTTTCTATATAGTTGCTCTCACTCTCTGTAAGTTCCCTATTTGTTCATGAATTTTTTTTTCAGCTTTATACCACGTTCTTTAACATAGTAGTAGTCATATTTGTTTGAAAGTCTCTCATAATTCACCATCTGGGCCATTTCTGGTTCTGATTGTGTTGACTGCTTTAGTTCTTGACAATGACTTTTTTTATTTCCCCTTCGCAGTCTTGCTGTGTATGTCTTATAAATATTTATTGGGTGCTGGATAGTGTATTTAAAAAAAATAATTGAACCTGAGGTTAATAGTGAACATGCCCAGAAACAGGCACACCTATTTTCCTGTCTGACTATTAATGTGTGTTAGGGGTTTGAAAGCTCTCTGGTCAATAGTTGATCTGGGTTTGGGCTTTGGGGTTTATTTTTGCCAGTTAATTTTAATAAGCCACAGACTTCAGATTTTTCCAGTGGTTCTCACTGTGTTGTGCTTAGCCTGTTGTCTGGAGTGCTGGAGGGATTTTTCAGGATTCTTGCTCCACTCAGGCTTTGGAGTCCTGCACCACAAGGGGTACTTTGTACTCTCCGTAGAGATTGATGCTCCTTTGCTGCAGAGGTGGAACTAGGTTCTCCCACAGCAGCCTTGCATTTAGGCAGGCCATGTACACCTCAGTGTCAGGGTAGGTTGTTTTTAATAAAGAATAGAGGTTTATTAAAATCATGGTTTTGGAGGTTGGGAAGTCCAATATTAAGGTGCCGGCCCTGGTGAAAGTCCTTACTGCTTCCTAACAAGGCAGAGACAACAAGTGTCTCAGGACGGGTATTCCTAATGTTCCTGCATCTCCCCCTTTCCTCCTTCCTGTCCCTGTCCTCCACAGCTGGTCTCAAGAGAGAGGACCAGGACACCTAATGATAGCAGACCTTTGCTTTGCATCAGTGTGAGGTCCTGGGCCCAAGCATGTTTCAGCCCCACCCCCAGTAGCAGATGGTGGCTTTTTCCTACCTCTCTCATAGTGGCAGCTGACCTTCGCTAGTGACCAGGGAGTGGATAGATTCCTACCCCTGTCCAGTAGCAGATGGCTTTTGTTTCTGCCCCTCAGCAGCATTTGAGCTTTTCCTTATGTGGAGAGTGGGAGGGTTTCCTGCTTAGATGATACCTTTCCATATATCATAAGTATTTTTTATTAGGTAGTTCCTGATGACTAGAGGCTGAATCCTAGCTCTTTAGAGAAGCATGTCTACCACTTGATTTTTATTCAAATCTGCCAATGTGTCATTCTTTTCCAGCTTAGGCTTGATCTCCGACTCTTTTCACATGTTCTTCGATAGCACTGCCATTTTGGCTGGATTGGCAGCTTCTGTTATTTCAAAATGGAGAGATAACGACGCTTTCTCCTATGGGTAAGACTTTAAAATATCTTTTTCTCAATCTTAAGATATACAGAAAAGTATATCTTAAAAGGTCAGCAAGCTTTTTCAAATTTAACACACTGTGTAAGGAACCCTTGAAATTTCTCAGGGCTCTGCTAGTGCCTACCACTCACTGCCCTAGGGCAACCATTTTCTTCACTTTGTGGGTCAGCTTTGCCTGTTTCAAGAGCGTGTAATTGGGATCTGCAGTATGTAATTGTATTTGCATCCATATTATTTTGCTTGCTGCGTGGGCACTTTAGGTGAGATTGTTGCTGTATGATAGAGGAGGATTTCTCATAATCTTTTTTTTGAAAAAGAAAAAAAAAGGATTCAGTATGAAAATGGCTGTGTTATTTTTCTTTTCTACTGATGGGATACTCTGCTGTTAATTTATTTAAAATTATTTAATAATAAATAGTATGGTTTTATATCACTAATGTTCTTCAGCTCTGCTTTTGTGTGTAATGCTCCTCATACTCTTGCAGATCTGCACAGTTAGCCACACACTGCGAGAGTATTTTTATGCTAAGGGCCTATGTCAGATCAAATTAGAGGCCGAGTTGGCTTTCTGCCACATCTGATTGGGGAAGCAATGCATTTTTCATTATTTGATTTATACTTCCTGTTTTGAGCTCATAGGATGTTTCTCAGTGTAATTATATTTGTATGTAAGCAGAATTCAGAACTAATATCCTCTTTCTCTTTCTCTCCCCCACCCCTTTCTCTTTCTCACACCCCTCTCGTCTACTTACTTGTTGATTCCTTCCCTATCACTTCTCCCTTTCCCCGGGAGTGCTCTTTCACATTCTGTCTTCATTTGTATTTCCTTTCTTCTTTCTCACTCTTCTTCCTCTCTTGGTACCTTCCCTCCCTTCCTTCCTTCCTTCTTCCTTCTAGCACTTACGATTCTCTCTCTGTCTTAACACATGTGTGCGCACACTCTCTCTCTGTTTTCTTTTCCTCTACCCTTTACCACTGTATTTCTCAGGCTGTTCCCAACTCCCTTCACCCTCTAAATCTCTAAACCTGTTCTGCTCAATTTCCTTTCTGTCTTACTTTCACAGTCTTTCCTTCTTTCATCAATTCTCCTTCCTCGAGTCCCCCTTTTTCTGTGCAGTTTCTCTCATTCTTTCCTTCTGCTTACACCCACACTCTTACATATGTTCTCTCTTCTGCTCTTCATCCTTCACTGCCTCTTTCTCATTATCTTGGCTGTGTTTTTCTGCATGCTTGCTCTTTCTTTTGCATGTTCCTGTTCTCGTCAGGTGTTTATTGAGAGTCCACTTTGAGTTGAATACTTTGCTAGGTCTTTTGATACAAAGATGAGTAGGACATGACTCCTGCCCTGGAGGAACTTGTGGTCTGACGGGAAAAGAGTTCTGTAAAGATGCCTAGTGGCTTATGTTGTCACAAGGGCCAAAAGAAGAAATGAAGTTCTCTATCAGTGCTTGCTGATTTTAGTTGTCAATTTATAAAATAAAAAGTGTGACAAGAGTACTGATTATACATTTTTATAATATAGAGCAGGAGATCTTGTATACCCATAGAGCTTGAAAGCTCAGATAAGGACATTTTCTATGGCACCTTGTTGGTGACATTCAGATAATCTTGAGCTGTAGCTACTAAAAATCTTTCAAATGTATTTCAAATCATTAAAGGAAGATTAAATCTAAATCTGTAATTTTAGTAGCAAATTAGTAATTCATATATATTGTAGAGCAAATCTAATTAGAATATCTTTTTGCTTCTGTTGTTTCACTTTAAAATTCATTGTGTCTTGCTAGCAGATGGATTTTAGGAATAGCTTTGAATACCTTCACTACCATAGCAGTTTTAATATTCAGCTAACTGATAGAAAAAAGCAATATTCTTGTCACTTTTTGTTTCTTATTCTGTTCTCTCTTTTCTTCTTTTGGGGAATATTACACTGGAGAAGTTAAAAACTGGTTCAGTATTTGAAACTTTGAATAATAGTAGCAGCAATAGTAAGCTACTGGTATCAGTATATAAAAATGGTACTGAATAGGTTAGGCCTAGGGATGAATCCCTATAAGCCCCTGTTGTTCAAGGTGATCATAAAAGCGGACTGACTATGGAATAGAAGAGACAGCAGGGGAAATCTGAGAGCAAGGCAAGAGTTTTCAGTATTTTATTAATCTTTGTGTCCTGTCACACTCTTCATTTTCAAATGGTAGAGCTAGCATAAAACTGTTATACATCCAGTAGTACATGGGGTTGTCTGTGGTACATGTGGTTGTATATGTGTGCTCATACACTTGGATCCTTTTTTTGCCCTGGCTGAAGAAAGCCATGCTTGGCAGTAGTACTTTCAGCAGTTAAACATTTTAATTCTAAGACTTGCTTTGTTCAAGATTTGTAATAGTTTGTCTAGTTTCACAATTTTTTCATTTTAAACCTGCAACCAAATATAGCAAATATATCAAAGCTAATTAAATCAGAGTCCAATAATTTATCAAAAATTTATGGACTACACGTACTAAGCTAGGAATTAGAATCAAAAGGTGCCTGAAAAACCTTCTCATTCTTGCCTTTGATCTTGAAATCCAGTGGACTCAAGGACAAAAGGCTTTCAATTAAGCATTAGCTATGGGACTAAAAGGGTAGATTAAAAAGAAAAATGTTCCTTAATTTTGAAAGTAATCCTGTTTATTTATTCAATAAATTCTTCCTAAGATAGGTTATGGAAACCTGGCTGCAAATATTTGAACTTAAGAACTTTTCTCTAGGAAAAAAAAAATAGTAACTTAATTTGCTTGTACATGTCAGAAGACAGACATGTGTATTGTTTCTGAACAAAGGAATACATGTTATGTTGGAAAATACTGGATAGGACTTACTCCAGCAGAACTAGAGTACATTTAAGGAGTTTGTTATCCCAGCACTCAAGAGGCTTAGACAGGAGAACAGAGAGTTCGAGGCCAGCCCTGGCTACATAGTGAGTTCTAGGTCAGCCTGGCAGGGTCTCTATGTGAGGAGGCCCTGTCTCACTCTAAAAAATATTTTTAAAGTAAAAATCATACTATTTAGAGGTTGACATAGAAAGCTATCAAAACTGTTTGTCTCTTCCTTCCTTTCTTTCCTTTCTTCTTCTCTCCTCCTCTCATTCCTTTCTTTCCTTCCTTCATCCCCTTTCCTCTTGTCTTCCCTCTCCTCCCCTCCCCTCCACTCTCCTCTTTTCTCCTCCCTCCTTTTCTTTCTTTGCTTACTTGTGAGACAGATTTTCCCTACATATCCCAGGATGGCCTTCTTTGAGTCTTTCTGCCTCAGCCTCCTGAGTTCTGGGATTGCAGGCATATAGCACTATGCCGGGCCTGTAAGAGTAGTTTGGATGCCCGTAATACTGTTCAAGGACCAGAGTGATTAATGATGGCAGCACACTTTAATTGTGAACATGTAAAAATGCTAAGTTAAAGTTGTTTGTCTGACTTTAATTAAGCCAAATAAAATAAAATAAAATAAAATTTTTCCTCAGTGCTTCACACCAGTAGGAAACAAAAAGCTTCAGAAGGCCATGGAGAAAAAGAGAGGTATTTTAAGAAAAGTTTAAGTAGAATTATGTGAAGCTAGTGTTGATTCTGAAAATAGATAATTGAAAGTTTATGCTAAATTTATTAATCTTAGAAAAAGAATGATAAAAAATGTGTCTCGTTGTTTCTGGGATAATTTAGGAATAATTTTATTTGAGAACAGCTCACTTTCTGAAGACTTCGGATCTGAAAGGTACAAAGCAGAATATATAAGGAGTTCTTGGAAAAAAAGGAACAAATAAAGTTTAAAAATCCCTCCCCTCTTTTTTTCCCAGACCTTTTCTTCTATTTTTTATCTTTGGAGTCTTCCTTCTTTGCTGACTTGTCTGGTCCTATTCTTTCTCCAGTAACAACTTGAGATTTATATTTCTGTGAAAGGTCTTTCTAAACCTACTTACTCTAGGAAGGTCTTACAGGCTTTGTAGAAATCTGTGTTTTGTAGCATTCTGCTATTGAACATAATTCATAATTTCAGTGTGTATAAAAATGTACTATTCTATACACATTTTTGACTTTGCTGGCACTTATTAGCATATAATATTGCTTAGAATGTCTGAAATATATAAATTTAAGATTTGATTTTAAAAAAACAGCTTAATAATTCAGTTGTTTTCTTTGTTCCTCTTTAGGTATGTTAGAGCAGAAGTTCTGGCTGGCTTTGTCAATGGCCTGTTTTTGATCTTCACTGCTTTTTTTATTTTCTCAGAAGGAGTTGAGGTATAGTAGATAATAACTAAAGTCACTAAGTTGCATTTTTGTCATGAAAATGTTTATTAAAGATATGCAATAGAACTGTTTTCAGCTACTAAGTATTGAAGACAGACTTGGATTAGACACAATATTATGTGTGTTCAGGAGGAGCCTTTGAAGTTGCTGACAGTGGAAAACAATGAAATGATAATGCTTTCCAAACTGTGGATTGTGTCGACACGATGAAAAGTAGAGGTCCATTCTGGGCAGGGAGGTTGGTTGGGAATGGTTCTTAAAGAGTGTAGAACCTGAGGGTTTGCTAGCAAATCTTTAATACTTGGTGTTGTTTTTAAAAACAAAAAAGAAATGTAAAGATTAGTGAATTTATGAAGAATGGTATTTTGGGATCTCAAAGAAAAACAGGTTTAGGCCCAAATAGTTATGCTTATATTATTTAAAAAATAGTAATCGTGACATTTTTGTAGTATGAGCACTGGTTTTGTTTCTTTAAACTGCTTTCACAGATATTTTTGAATGTTTTTAATTTGAAAATGACTAAAATTTTAACATTGCCTTATGTTTTTGCCAGTTGATTACTCAGAAATTACATCAATGCTACTCGTTTGTATTATGTATTTTCTAGAGAGCACTGGCCCCTCCCGATGTCCATCATGAGAGACTGCTGCTTGTGTCAGTTCTTGGGTTTGTGGTAAACCTGATAGGAATCTTTGTTTTCAAGCACGGAGGTGACGGACATTGTCATGGCTCTGGTACGACGGTTAGAACCCTTTGTCTCTTCACTTTCTTCCCAGCCGCTGTCATAACTGCTTACTTTGAACAGTTGATAACTGTTACAGTTAAAGGGTAGATCGATTTTTAAATAGCAAAAGCAGTGTGTCTTCCTGACCCATCTCTCTGCTTCTGCATTCCCACCCATCCCGTGCCTTCTCAGAAGTATGCCGTTATCAGTTTGATGTGTGTCCTTGCAGGCTTCGGTAGCTCATCGTGTTCATGTGATAGCATTCATATAAAAGAAATATCAGACAACCACAGAGCAAATCTAGTTACTAAATTGTGTGTGTGTGTGAGAAATTTATAACCTCTTGTTGAGGTTCTTCCATTGGGTGTGTGACAGTCTGCTTGTCTTGTTAACAGCCACATAAAATTCCATGGCATGGTTTAACTAGTGTTTCATGGACAGATTTCAAGTTGTTTCTGTTTTGTCACTAATCCATATAAAGCCTGCCCAGTGAACATATGCAAGAGTTTGTCCAGAGATATGTTGGCCTGTATTGTACCTGTTAATCACATGTGGCTATTTAAATTTAAATTTTACTTAATTAAAATTAAATTCACTTCCTGAGTTGTACTAGTGACATTTCAAGTGCTCACTGGCCATATGAGGCTCCTATATTGGACATGCAGAAATCATCTTTAGGAAGTTTACAAGAGGAGAGCCTTAGCTTTTACCTCCTGCTTGCATAGGTCAGTGAGAGATAAATGATGATGTCACCTTTCTTAGGTCTTGCTTAGGCATGTACACAACTTGTGTGTAACCTTTTAGATTTCAGAAATGTGTTTGTGCTTTTCAAAGTTCCTTTGGTTGTTGTCTTCTCTGAGATTTCCTTAAAATTCTGAGTCTGGCCTGCCTTTGCCCAACTGAAATCACAGCCTCCAGAAACTAAGATACTGCCAGAAATGTGCCATTGTTTTGTTAATGCTCTGTCTTCAACCCTCAGCCTCCTTCCTACCACGCTCAGCTGAACTCTGAGTCTCAAATCCACATTTCTGAGACTATGTAGAGATTGTTCTTGGGGTTTGCAAGTTTGGACAAAACATAGATTGTACCAGAAGATGATGCTTTTTAACTCAGGCTGGGAAGGGAGGTAGGATGGAAGTAGCTCAAAGACACTGTTGTTGTCTTAACAAAGTTCAGTAGTTTCTCTTAGATGATTTTCAGGTTTATTATTAGTTTTAAGTAATTGCCAGAGTTCTGAAATGGTTGGTTTGTAGTTGCTTTTCCTGCATTTTTGTTATTTTAGAGGAGAGGTAGTTCACCAAGTTTGCCTTTCCACCATTCTGGAAGGTAATTTCCCACAGGTGTGATCTTTTCATATAATGTACTGGATTTGACTTTCTGGTATTTAGAATTTATTCCTATGGTAGTAGGAACTCAGGATTGTTTGAATGAGTATGTCACACTTTTTACAAATAAGTATTTATTGCGTTGACTCTGGGTTTAAGGCATATCAGTGTAATCACTTATGTACTTTTACCTTTGCGCTTTGCTTTCCAGGCCACGGACACAGTCATTCCCTCTTCAATGGTGCTCTCGATCCAGTGCACGGGCCTGGAGACCATTGCCACCATCAGGAAGAGAAGCACGGCACTGCCCATAGCCATGACCACGCTCACGGACACGGACACTTCCATTCTCACGGTGAGTTCTGCCCAAGCCCTTTCACATGGACATTCTTCCAAGTGGGCAAGAATTGTGAGTTACTTTCTCTGTTGAAATGGTCTATTCAAAGGACACTGCATCTTTCCTACTGAGTCAATCTAAATGGTTCCCAGGGTTAATTCCTTTTTAGTAATTTGGCATAAGGCAGTGCATATAGCTTTTTTAAATTCAGGATTTTATCAGTAAAATGCCACTATTTAAATTGTCAGTGAGTAAAGAATTATAATTGAGCAAATGAAAACCATGATTTTTTAAAAGTATGATAAAGTTCAAAAATATAACTGAAACCTTGTATTCTTTACTGATGCTTCTCCATCTCTGCCTCCCTCCACCCCTGACAACCAGTATCCTACACTTTCTAAGTTTGACTATTTTGGGTTCCTCATATAAAGTGGCATATGTCATTGTGTCTGGATATTGTCTTCCGGGTTCACGCATGTTGTCCCAAGTGGCAGAATTTCCTTAAGACTGAGTAACACTCCGTTTGTATGTCTGCACCACATTTTCTTTACTCATTCATCTGTTGGGGCACATTTAGGTTGCTTCCATGTCTTGGCTGTGATAAATAGTGGTGCATTGAACATGGAAGTACGACCCTCTCTTTGAGATCCTGATTTCAATTCCTTTGGTTCTGGTTCCAGAGTGAGATTGCTGATGAGGCCCTTTTGTTTTTAATTTTTGAGGAACCTCCATATTGTGTTCTGTAGTGGCTATACCAGCTTACATTCCTACCTACAGTGTATAGAGTCCTTTTCTCTGTTTTGTTTTTTTGATAATAACCATCCTGATGGTGTGAGATGATATCTCACTGAGGTTTTGATTTTAATTTCCCTAATCATTAGTGATGTGGAACACCAGTTCATGTACTTGTTTATATATTTTCTTTGGAGAAATGGGTATTCAGTTCCTTTGGCCATTTTTCAATCAGGTAATTTTTTTCCTTTTGTTGTTTGTTGCATCTGCTGTGTAGCCTTTTAGCTTGCCATAGTAATCCCACTGGTCTGGTTTTGCTCCTGTTTCCTTTGTCAGTCTCTAAAATTTGCTAAGTTTGGTAGCAGTTACACTGGTGTGCTTCAAAGCCTTGCTTTTCTAGCTTTTTGCTCATATGCATCACCCCAAAGACTGCATATCCCTCACACAGTTATAAGATGACTTCTAAAAACACTCTGGTTAGGCATTTGCAAGTGATATAATTTCTGGCACAGGGTAGGTAAGGCTTTAAAATGAAATTGCTGTATGAGTCTGTTGACTGTACTTAGTGGATTCTACCTTAGCAGTTTGAGACCCACCATTGCCCGTTCTTAAACATATAAGCAATTGCAAATTTTACAGCCTCCTGTTCCTCCTTGAATTCTTATTTCATCTTAACCTCTTTTCCAGAATTTTACAATAATGCAGTCAGTTTGTGTTAAGTTTTTAGTCAAAGTACAAAATCAATCAAAATAGTTCAATCTCAACTTTTAATACATAGTTACTAGCTACAAAGGGCAACATTTTATTTGAGATATACATCTTAGTTGTAGATGAAGGGAGGATGTGGATACATGGTAAAGAAGAATCGACCTAACACTGGGAATTCTCCGGAAGATTAGTTATGAAGCACTTTGCAGTTTTGTGAATCTAGAAACTGAGCCCTTACATGTATTGCTTCTTATTAGTTAACTGGAGTAAAATTACTTGTCCTTTTCTAAATGCCAAACAACTCTTTTACTTGGTGTAATCAGTAATGCAAAAATGTGCAACATGGCATAATTGTATGACTCTGTTAGCCTAAGGAGAGTTTCAACTAATTGTTTATGGGAATCATTACACACAAAATTGAAACTCAAAGGGGAAGGAAGCCATCTATTAATGAAGTTTTTGTAGTTTTTCCCCTTCAGTGGACTATGAATTTAATATTATTGATGTTTATATTATAAGAGTCTAGTGTGGTTTCTGGAATAGAGGGCAGCTCATTAAATATTACTGTGTTTATAAATGTATAATGCTATTTGTAAGTCTTATTTTTATTTGGCGGTACTGGGGTTTGAACTCAGGGCTTTGTGCTTGCTAGCCAGGCACTCTGTCACATGAGCCATGCCCCAGCACTTTTTGCTTCCATTATTTTTCCAATAGGGTGTTGAGTTTTTGCCTGGAACCGTCTGGACTGCAGGTCTTCTGTTCATGCTTCTTGCACAGCTGGGGTGACAGGCACATGCACCATGTCCAGCTTTTGGTTGAGGTGGGGTCCCGCTAACCTTTTGCCCAGGTTTGCCTTGTACCACAGTCCTCCTAATCTCTGCCTCCCAGGTAGCTGGGTGTAAGTCTCACTAAGTTATAGGATAAATTTTCTCCAGATTTCTCTTTCCCATTCCTCATCTCAAAACAAGTAATAGAGGTTGAGTAGCCTTTATCTAGAGCTGCTTCACATGCCAGATGTTTTTGCATTTTGGAGTATTTGCATAGGCTTTACATGGTAGTTGAGCATCCCTAATCTGAAATCTGAAATGTTCCAAAACCTGAAACTTAAGCTGGAGTTTTAAAGTAGTTATACTTTTGACTATCAGTGGACTTTTCGTGGTAGCTGTGTCTTTTCACAGCAGTACCATATCTAGTCAGAAAATATTGTGCAGGCTTATGTTTTGTTACAGTGCATGCCAACCTGTAGTGATAAGGATATGTTGGCTCTTTGGAGCTGTCAGCCAAGAACTAATGACTACAGGCAGCCACACTAGTTGTGGTCAAAGCTTGTCTATCCTCCTGATGATCCTTTGGACAAATGCCGTTCAAGTTGGTTAACAATCTTCAAAGTATTTAAGGATAGAAATTATAGTATTTTTTCACCTTTTCATCGTACAGCAAATTCTTAATAAAGAATTTTTATCTCTTCTGTATAGAAAGCATGCCATATTCACCTAGAAACTATTGAAAAACTGTTAGCCTGGTTTCTGTCCTGGCTTCATTTCTTGAACCTCTTATAACTTCAAGCAGTACATTTAGTTCCTCCGAATTCTCCATTGTAAAAGTGTTAGCAGATACTTTATTATTAGTAGATTTTCACAGTGTATTGAATTCTGTGTGCTTTTTGCTTTTTAATACACTAATTCCCAAAATACTCTGTACCCCTGATACATTTTAAAATTGCCTCCACTGAATTTACTTCTGTTCATTTATTGTATTAAACTTCAAAAATAATTTTGCAGGTCTGATGTATCTATATAGTCAGCTCCTCCTTCATGATACATTTGAAGGAAAAGTACTCGGAATTGCAAAAATTCGAAACAGGAATTCAAGACATGTTTTAACATAATTTAACTTAATTCTCTACAGATGGATCCTCCTTAAAAGAAACAACAGGACCCAGCAGACAGATTTTACAAGGTATGACCAGCAATTTGTGTGTTTTTCAACTTTATGAAAATAGTTTCATAATATTCATTTGTCAGAAGTGCTCTTTTAAGAACAATACATAGCATAGTACTTACGTTTAAAATGTCAGCCTTCTTAGTGATTATTTTATATGCACTGCTAGGTATTTTAGCAGATGTTCTTTGTCACTTGGCTGCTTCCTCAGATTTAATAAGAAAAAGAAAGTGCAGAAATTGCTGTTTAACTATACATAATACCCTGGATTATGACTGAATTAACACTGTGGTAGTGTGCTTGCCTCCTTTGGATTATTACATAGTTCTTCCAAGAGCAGCATTCAATATGTTCTTACGTTGTAGAAAATATAGAGCCAAAATGAAATGAAGAGTGAGACCGCCGTGGCGTTTGTAGGCATCTAGTGATGCCATGTAAATGGGTGCTTGCATGTCCTGTGAATCGCTGCCCTATGGAGCTTTACAAGCCAGAGAAAAACACCCTTGTCTGAGGTGTGAGTGGATCTTTGGCTCTGATTTCCATTTGGACTTCATTGTCAAGGATTCCTGATTCCCAGCTCTCTGCCTTCTTTCCTTTGTTGATTTTTGGCTTCAACTGACTTTCTGATAGCTGCTGATCCAATCTATATTGTACCTACTTTTCTCCACTGTTTCTTGATCTAATTAATTTTTTTATTGAGAATATGCTCTTACATACTGAAGAATTTATTTTAAGAAAGCTTTGGGGTATCTTCTAGTCTCTGATTTTCCTTTTGCAAAATATATAGAATTATTTTAGTACAGCCTTTGTTGAATTAGATTGTAGTCATACATTTTTGATGCAGCTATCAAGTGGTACAAATTAGCTTTTTAAATTTTTTGTGTAAATTAGGTTTGATACAAAGAATTTATTATTTTTTTTGTTTTGAAAATAATTACAAGTGGTAGGAAAAGAAGTTAGATCTGGCCTCTTGTTACCTTTAATACAAGCTACTATGAAAATGAGTATATTTCCTGAATATCTGTCAGTTTGTGGTGCATGAAGAAGGCCACTAAGTAGCTGGAGATCGAGATAAATGCCTGGTATTGAAACTTTTGTGCAAAACTACCATATGGATACTTACACATGAGTACTAGGAATTAATTGAATTTTTCAGTTCCTTGCTACATCTTGCTTAGGACTCCTGGTTTACTAAGTTTTGGGGGAGTTAGATTCTCAGTACCCTACCAAGGCATGTAAGATTTCAACTTCACATGAGTTAAATATATTGTTTATATGTTTGTATTTAATGATTTTTCTTCCTAAATAGTAACTACAAAGTAGATATAATCTGTTTCAGGTTAGTAAATTACATGTAGCCAGGGACTTTAAAATCTAAGGAAAACCAAGAACCAATGATTCTTTTCCTTTTCCTTTCAGTGTTTAGAGCTATGTTCATTTCTGATTCTCCCAAAGCATTGATTGAAGAATATGAAGCATGGGTCACTTAGACGAGTTTGTTAGGGACCTTAAAAGCATGTATCCCAAATTAGAGTTTGTAGGTTAGGGACTGTCAATCTGTTTTGATTTTTTTTCTGGCTTTATTTTTAAAAGCTAAAGTGGTTCTGACACTTACTAGTCTGTCTTATTCTTTGCTATTTGAACTACTTCAGAGAATTTGATTAAAGTATTCTGTAGGTATTCTCTGATAAAAATTTTTTGTTATAGAAAAATTCCTCTTAGGAGAGCAACTGGCTTTCTGTAGAATGGTTGTAATAAGTGAAAACTATACAAAGGAAAGGCATGTGGAGATAAGGGTGACTTACATTTGGTATAATACTTGATGTAAAACTCCAAAGAAGCAGATGAAATAAAATTTCTTGCCTGCGTTAAGATTTGATTGAACTTAGTAGTAGTCAGTTTTAAATTGTTAAAATGTTTTTGAATTTGAGTTAAGTTTCATTCTACACCTTAAAGTGGTTACAGTATACTTTTTATTGTTCAGGGCATAATAAAAAAGAAAAATAGGTATTTTTTAATTGGGCACATAGTTTTTGCATATTAGCTATTTCTTTTGAGATGGAGTGGCTGCTGGAATTGGAGATTATTGTACTTGCAGTACGGCCTGACTGTGATGCAGAGACAGTGATTTGCTGTCTAGTGAGCTTTACAAAGTTCTAAATGTTGAATAAGTTATTTTCTTAGTCGAATCTTTTTCAGAAGGGATTGTGTATACACCTTCTCTCTTGGCATTTGTAGTGGTTTTCCAGGTAGGTTTCACTCATTAAATATTAGTAATATGTCTGGGTTCTTAAGTTAATCGGTGCCCTACCAAGTTAGTATTTAATTATTGCAAGTTCACATATATTTTATATTCATTTAATAATATTCAAGTCCCTGCTTCTTTGACAATGGATTTGTAACTACTTGAGGTAATAAGTTCTTTAGGATAATTAGTAATTATATCCCATCGGGTCAATAGGAAATTCTAGTCCCAAATGGCAGTAATTTTAGTCACCAGCAGAGGGCTCTCTATGTACATGTATTCATAATTACGATGTTTTCTTGATGAATTTTTTTTAATGTCATTTCTTTTCCAAATTATTATTTAGCTTTTGTACTCTTTTTAAGTCAGAAATGAGTGTTCTCAGTTCTTGAAATCAATTTGTTTCTCTACTTCTTCATTTGTAGTATGCTATTAAGAGCAGGCATAACTGGATGTGCTGGTTCATGCCTATGATTCTAACACTCTGGAGGTTGAGACAGGAGGATGGCAAGGTTGAGGCCAGCTTGGGCTAGATAGCAAGATCTGACTCAAAAAACAAACAAGCAAGAAAAAGGGAAGGAGGAAGGGAAGGAGAGGGAGAGAGAGAAGGAAAGCAAGCAAGTATAACTTAGCAGTTAGATATTTTAACCCCTGTTGAGTTGAAAAAGAAACGATTATTTCAGTCTGTAAATGTACTGTTACAAACCTATTAAGCAGTGAATATACTTGCCTATTGATTTTTCAAATTGATAGTTTTTATATGCAAAATTAAGGTGTGGAATTGAACGGAGAGACGTGATGTCTATTGTGCTTCTCCCTAGGTGTATTTTTGCACATATTGGCAGATACACTGGGGAGTATTGGTGTGATCGTCTCTGCCATCATGATGCAGAGCTTTGGTTTGATGATCGCAGACCCTATCTGCTCCATCCTCATAGCCATGCTCATAGTTGTGAGGTGAGTGATGTCCTGTGCTACTTGTGGCTGTTGACTGAGAGATGAGCGATGCACGCGCTGCTTGAGTTACAGATCTCCATACAACTGTCATGCTGGTTTCCTTCGGTCTTTGAGAAGTGCCTATGTGAATTCTCCTTTCTCTTTATTTTTTGTGTGTTTCTCATTTCTTTCCTGGAGTTAGACATTTCTTTTTTGTTTTTGACAATTAAGCTTTCAGTCATTCAAATTAGCAATAATTTTCTTAAATCTAGCACGATACCTACAGGGCAAAAAGTAAGAAATGTAGACTATATTAACTACAGTTAGAACCTTACAGTTTGTATCTGTATCTGGATATCCATATGTGCAGCTCTCTCTGCTTTACACTGTCAGATTAAAGAGTGTCAGAGTCTTCTTTGCTAGACTTCTTTTTTATGATAGTGAGGGTTGAACTGAGGGCTTTGTGCTTTCTAAGCAGGTGGTCTACTACTTTGATCCTCACCACTGGTCCTTTTTGCATTGGTTGTTTTAGACATAAGGTCTCGCTTTATGCCCGGGCTATCCTAGACCATGATCTTCTTGTTGGTGCTTCCCCATGTAGCTGGGATGACAGGTACATGCCACAGTGCCCAGTCACTGAGATGGGGTCTCATGAACTTTTTGCTGGGGCTAGCCTCAAACCACAATCCTCCTGATCTCTAGGATTAAAGACTTGAGCACTGTCCTCATCTAAGAACTGTTTTTAATTATAAAGTCATGTTATCACTACAGAAGTCATGAAAATGCTTACTGAAATTAATTTATATCTGTCCTTAAGATATATATTTATATGTTAAGGAAGTCTCTTAGGTCTTTATCTTTTTATTGTCTGCCATAGTGCCAGTGTACATGTAAAGGTATTTTTGTGTGTAGGTGTTTAAATTCTCAATAAATGTTTGCTGAGTTAGAGTTTATGGTTATTTTCATCTAAGTTTCTTTTATCCTGGGATACATTTTATTATTGACCTAATTTTAATCAGAATAATAGGAATGTGTCCCATTATCTTACCATCTTCAGTTATTTAAAATTTGTATAATATGTGTTGATTAGAGTCTTTATTTTTCCTTATGATTTTACTCAATGAAACTTTTTGTAATGATAATAAAAAACCTACTAGAAGTAAAACTGTGATGATTTTTATAGCTCATAGTTGAGTGCATTTAATAGATTGTGGTGAGATCATGTTACAGTATGCATCAGTGGAGAGTAGGTTCTGCCTACAAAACAAGATCTACATCTGAACATGCAGCTTTACATGTTGATTTCTTTACATTATCTGTACAAGGAAGCACTGCTATAAGGCAGTGAAGCTTAGAGTGCCTTTTCCTTATCTTTGGAAAGCTTAAACTTCCTTGAAAGTTCAGCTTAGAACCTCTTTATGAGTACTCTTTATGGGTTCCATCTGAACCTCTTTATGGGTACTTCCTGTATTATTTTACTTTGTTGTATAATTGGTAGTTGTTTCTAATACTTCTAAAGAGTAGGCTCTTATTATTCACTTTTCTTTGTCTCCATTATTATTGCCCTAATTTGCTTGGAAAACAATAACAATCTTCAGACTGACCTCTGTCTCCCTTTAAACTTTTCCCACTGGCTGAGGTGATCTTTCTTTAAAGAGGATTATGTGACATATAGAAATGATCTTCCTTTAAGTTCTTTCACAACTCTTTCCTCAGGATGAAGTCCAGACTCCTTCATGGGGTTCACAGTGTTGCTTACCTACATGATGTTGTTTCCTCTTCATGTTTCAGTACTGTGGCTCTCAACCAAAGGAAATTATTTTCCGTTCCCTAAGTATATGAATGAGTTCTTTGGATTCCAGGTTTTGCTCATATTTCCTCTGTCCAAACTCCTCTTACAGTTTGTGCCAGATCCTTTCCCAACACACACGCATGCATGTACCACAGCCTCACATCCTTCAGGTCAGATTTCTTTAGGAAATACTCCTTGATTTTCTCCACCTCCCAGGCTGGGTGAAGTACATCCCTTATACTACTGTTCCCTTTCTTGGCATTTACTTACTATACCTACTCAGTCTCTTTTATTGCCTCTTTGAAGCTCTGTGAAACTATTTTTCCATTGTTTGAAAGTGAGTATGTAACTCTGCCTGACCAAAAATGTTGACACAGTGAATTTGAATCAGAAGAAACTCATGTATTTATCACTTTCTCTAACCACAAATAGGGAATTCTAAGTAACAGAATTATTTACTTCTGTTCTCATTCATTTATTCTAGAAATATAAATAAATAAATGCACACAACAATTTTTTAACTGAAATATTCTTAAGCATTCTTAAAAGAAAAACAAACTGCACAAACCTTTTATCAGCAACTAATGTATTACTAAGCAGGCCTTCTTAACCAGGTAGTGAGAACGACTCAGCATGCCTACAGATTTGATCTTAGCTGGTAATACAGGAAAGAGACAAATAAATTAGTAAATAAACTACTCAAGTACCAAGCAGTTGCTCATATCATACAGAGTTAAGATAGGATTATGTGGCAGTGTCTCAGTTGCCAATTTAAATTGAGTAAGGGAAGACCTGAACAGGGATTATTTAAGCAAGATCTAAATATCTCAAGAGCTCGACAGAGGACATGCTTGCTAGTCCAGGGACCAGGTGGCATAAGAGCCCTGTGGTGAAAACAAATGTGGCACTGGATGGAGACCAGTGTGGCTGTAGGGAGTAAGAGGAGAGGTTTGAGATGAAGTTGGAGAAATAGGCCAGGGAAATTACGTAGGACTTGGGATTTGGATTTTATTTCAAGTGCAATGGAAAGTCATAAAAGAGCAGCAATATTTGTTTACATTTTAAAAAATCATTTTGACTGAGGTGGAGAGTGGATTGTAAAGGGACACAAGTGCATATCGGCATACCAGCTAGAAAGTTATGACAGTGGGCCAGGTGAGAGACCTTCATAGCTTGGGTAAGCTACTAACCTATGAAATAGAGAGACAAGACAAAGTTAGAAAGTGGTTTGGGGGTGGAGCTGACAAGACTTCTCATGGCTATGAATGTGTGGGTCAGGGTTGAGTGAAGAGGAGAGTCAAGGATAATTTGTACAGTTTTTTCTTGGGCTGAATGAAAGTCATTGAAAGTCATTGAGATAGAGAAGACTGGAAGAAGAGTGATTTTTTTTTTCCTTAGTTTTTGAAAGGTCTCCAGATAGTTCTGTTTCTGTTGTTGCAAGTTTGAGATTCTCATGAGACATTGATGTGGATATTTCACTCACTACTGAATGAGTGTCTACTTAACATATGGCCAAAAATAGTCCACATATAAAGTGTCGGAGTAGTATTCATCTAGCCCAAGTGCCACTGTTCTCACTTCTTCCATTTCCTGGGAAGTGTCCCTTAGTGTGCTACTCCTTCCTGCCGAAACTGACTTAGCTTCAGGGTGCCTTTAAAATGTAGTGCTTCAAGCAGCCACAGCCAGCCAACTACACTTGGCTTCTAAGGTAAAACCTACTTGTCATCTTTGTCTAGGTTATACAGACCAATTTGTAAAAGTATTTGTAGTTTGTATATGTACATAGTTTCAGGTCATATAATTAGACTTTTCACTGCCTTTAAGCTTTAACATTTTTATTATTTGCTCCTTATATCTAATAACCAAAGTAACACATGCTGATTGTAAAAAATTCATTATTGAAATGTATGATTTAGCTATTAAAAGGTTTCACAATCCTACCTTTTGGAGATGACAGATAACTTTAATGTGTCTTAAAATCATTCAACAAATGCTATAGTGCCCGCTCTGTGCCCGGCAGCTAACAACTTTGGCAAATACCTCACCCTGATGGAGCTTACATTTTAATGGGGGAGACTGTCAGTAAAGTGAAGGAGTATGCAAATAGGTAATGGAATGTCACTTGGTGACAAATGCTATGAAGAGGGCAAGGAGATGGTATTTAGAAGGGCCTCAGATGTCCACTGCATGTGATGACATTTGAGCAGAGACCCATGGTGAAGGAGCAAGAGCAGCATGGTACTGTTGAGAGGACGAGCACTGCTGCCAGAGGGAACTTGGCTTCAGACATGCTGGGGCAGGGGGTGTAGTTGGGGTGGAATGAGCAGAGGATGGTGGATATGTATCTGGAGTTCAGGACACAGGTTGGGGTGGAAGATAGAAATTTGGGTGTCATTAGTTCATATGTGGTGTTTAAAGCCATGAGATGGGATATGCTTTCCCAGAGAATGGGTAGAAAGAAGAGGTGTGGGGACTGAGCCCTGAGGAGGTAAGGAGCAGGAGGCAGGGCAGTGGGAGGAAAGACTTTTACACACATTGTTTAGAGGCCTCCCGTGGAAAGTGTTTCAACAGGAAGGAATGATCAACCCTATGAGTACCTTTGGGAATGACGGTTGGTTACTTATGCTGGACATTCAGAAGTGAGGTAAGAAGCAAAGGCTGAGAGTAGCTTTAGGAGAACAAGGGAGGAAATGGAAACACAACCACAGGCAACTTCAGAGCCCTTTGCTATGAGGGAAGCGGCCCAGTGCCTGGCAGCACTGAGGGCCCACTTTGAGGTTTGTGGTCATGAATTTAAAGTGAAAACAACTTGCACAGGTGTATGCTTTTCTCCTGCCTTCTTCAGCTACTTGGTAAAAGTTAAGGAGTAGAGAATTGGATTTAATTGGTGTGGGGTTTTGTCAAGAGAGTACTAACAATGAGAAGAGGGAGGCAGAAATTATAATGCTGGGAAATTAGGATGTAAAGGTAATGATACAGATTTTTTAAAAAGTGATAGGCTTGGTGGATTAGAGGTTCCTTTGGAGGAGCCATGTTACAAGAGAGGTGTTAAGGAAAGTGATCCAGAAATAGGTTATTGAGGTTGTACAGTGCTTCAAATTGGGATCTTAAGGTCTAAAGTGTCATCTCGGGTGTAGGACCAAATGATGATGACATGGAGGTCAAAGGCTGATGGACTGTGCAACATAGAAATTTAGAGCAATGAAAGGACAGATGAGCCCAGTGCTTA